TTGTTTATTTTTTCTTTTTGATCAACCAAATGCAGAATCCGGGCGGAGTGTAGGTCAGGTATCAAGGGAATGATATTAGTTCTCTGATTTTCAAAATAATGCCCATGTACTGCCCGATGTTCACATATGTGCAAATAGTAAAGCAGAGCTCTAAAAGTGCAACTGTAAAGTGTCATGCGAGGTAGGAATCATGACTAATTGTTGGATGAAAATAGATTAATAAGGACTATCTATTTGCTCAGCCGCTACAGAACTCACAAGTGTTTTAATGTACTTTTGAAGAACTCATGTGAAACTCAGCTATAGTGTAACGCGAGGGACAGAGGTCGAGGGGATGGGGATGCTGGGTCGTCGGACGAAAAGCAGAGGGTTTTTTTTACCTATCTTTTTGGCCTGTTTGCAACGTAGCTTAATTCTGAGCAGCATCTGGCCTAGCGTAATCTCTTTCCCACTATCTTTAGCCTTAGAACTCGATTTGAAGTTGACTCTCTGTTTCCACTTCTCCGCTTTTTGAAAATCTCTTGTGGAAAATTTCCAGACATGCATTATCGGCTTTGGCTAATTGTAATTGTTTTAGATGTTCATTATTCTTATTGGACAACGAGAACAAAGAGCTGGTAGCGAATGTATTCGACAAAGCTGGTGACCTTACAGAAATTAGAATTCCAATGACGATGGGAGTCGTAGGACGTGTAGCAACTACACGAACAATGATGAATGTGCGCGATGTGCAGAGGTACGGTGGCAAGTTTTGATTTTTTTAGGGTTTTTTTTGTGATTTCTGAGTCTTTCGAATATTCTGGGCTTCGAAAGGAAGTTTTTGCTTAATATTAGAGGAGTATAGCTCACATTTTTCACAGTTTTGCGGTCATGTGATGTGGTTTTTTGTTACATCACTCTGAAAATTCGTGCCGCACGCAAGCTCATAAACATAGAGAAATTAAGATGACAATATCTGCTTGAGTTTTTCAGTTTTGGTGTGAATGAGCACTCATCAAACAGTTATTAACTTGTAACGAATTTTCTGGAAGCTTCGCAGTTTTTTCTGTGCTCTTGATGGCAAAGATATTGTAGAC